ATGGTGTACTTCTAGTGGAGACTGGGGTGGGAGTGTTGCATTACACACTAAAGCCATTAGGTTACAAAGCAGAAAATAGAAATTTCTTTAAAAGTTTAGATTGTATACATAGAGGASTCCTACTTATTTCAGCACATCCCTTAAAAAGAATTACAAGCTATCAAATTTTAGAATCCAAGTTGGGAAATCCCTTTTCCTTGTAGCATTTKTCTCATGTATTTACCTTTCTACTGACACCTCCAGCTTTGGTTTGCAGATATTATCATCCCCACAATCCAGCAGAATATGGGCCTATACAAAAATCAAACATATGCTRTTGTAATAATTTCTTCATCTGTTCTATAATATACATATAATATACATATACATCTGTTCTATAATATATATTTTAAATACTACTGTTTCACCACTACAGCAAAGGAAATTCTAAATAGCTAGTTTTCATCTCACTAGTCTCAGAAGAGAACAAATGAGTTTTTATACATGGGGAGAACTGTGTCTCCTCCTGACCTACTGCAATTCTAGGACTGATGTTTATACCTTAACCATCTTTCCATACTTGGAATAATCTCTTCATATTAAGCTGCATCTTCACTGATCTCTTTACAAACAGAAAAAATTTGTAAAAAAGGGCATAAACAGAAAAAAAAAAAAGTCTATTACCAAAAGAACATAATGCACACAGAGCAGCACAGTACAAGCAACATGAAACACTCCAAGCCTTCAAGACTGAACACTTCTAGACCTACCCTATTTTTTTTCCCCCAAGATTAACCTAAGATGTAGAGAGTTCCCTCTTTACAGGCTGTGCCTGCAGTGTACCTGTCTGCTCATATTGGCAGGAGTGAACTGGTTGAGGATGGGGTGCAGTCCTGTTGCATCTGCAGCCGTTCTGTAATCCAGACGGTATTCCATGAAAATTGTAATGGGAGTTAGCTTGTCTCTAAATTCAGATTCATCCTGAGGAAACCAAAGATTTGAACCACAATTAGCATGCAGCAGGCACGGAGAGGCCAAAACAGCATCAAAACTTCTGAGCTCTTTTCAAAGTAGAAAACCTGCACAATTTTAGCAGCAACATGACAGTTTAACAAAAGGAAAACTGGAGCATACAGAGATATTAAGTCATGGAAATCCAATGAAAAGGAGCCTAAGGGCTACACAGCTCTGCTCTTTCCTGTCAGACAAACCTATGTCTGCTTCTGAGATCCCTCAGAGATGCTCAAGTTAGGACTTTGGATTTTTTCCTTCCGAAAATTATTACTTGGCCCTTGGGAGTTGCTGACTTTCATGCTTATCAGACATTGATCCTRCCTTGCAGAGATCTTACAAACCATCTCATGGTTTAGCCACAGATTCAGTGTAAACTCTGCTTCATTTCTGATAGYAATGAAAATGACTGATTTTAGAACAGCTCATTTCAGGATCTTGCTTCAGAACRTATCTTCTGTGGGCAGAGATTTATTGATTACCTACGGTTTTATGATGATTTCATATAGGTCATGTGTCAATACTTTCTTTATAAAAATGTCAGGTGAAAATGTGCTAAATCTTCACTAACCCTGAGATCTGAGATGTTTAATTCCATATATATCCCACTCACAAAAGTCAGGTCAAAGAAAGTATTACCTACCCTCCGTGAATCCTTAATGATTACTATCATTTTTATTTGGGTTTTTTTTTTTTTTTTAGAGGGAAGTAAGCATTGTTTATGTTTAATTTATAAGTGCTCAGAGATAAATCTAAGCTGCACAGAACTCACATAGCTGCACACAGCTTTTTTTCTATTGATTTGTACTTTTAAATTGTGTTAGCATCTGTGCACATTTGTGGGGACGAAAACAGAAAGCCTGAGAAAAAGCAAACTTATTTCAAACTTGTCCATCAATTCAAGTATTTCAACCTTCTCCATCTCCTCTGGTATTTGATGATCTTGGTTTTTCAGTTGCAGGTCTGTATTTYTCTTCAATTTTTAACCTCCAAAGTAGGTGGGATCTCTGCTTATTCACTTTCCCATTCCTTGGAAATTGTAACTAATTTGGTGCCTGGATGACTTGGCCAAGAAGTCCAGAACAAAGTTCTGAATTCAATTTCCAATCTATTTAGGAACCAGGATGTTAGCAACAATAACATTCATCTTGTGACAGCAGCAGTAAGTGGGACAGATGTGTGGTTTTAGTMATTTCAGGTCTATCCACTGAGCACAAAGTTTTTCTGGCTTTTATTTTTTTTTATTTTTTTTAACCTCTAACACAATGAACTTGTCACAGACAATGCATCAAAAATGATTTGTCTAAAGCATAAATGGCTTCTTACCCTCAAGAAGGCATCGAGCTCCTCGCAGTTCATTTTGCCCCCCTTGGTGATTGTCATGTTCTTGGAGTGGCTGGGCTGTCTGCTGTGCAGGAACAGAGCTCTCCTTATTGCTCCCTTCTGCTTCAGTTTATCCAGCAGCAGCTCCACCTGGAAATCTGGCCAAGACAAAGGGTTTGGGTTAGGGACCTTTCTTTCCATTAAAYACAGTGCAGATTCCCCTCAGAAATGCAGCTGGACACTGATTTCAACTACAACAAAAACCCAGCGCTTGCCACTGTTAAAACTTCCAGTTTTTTCCCATTTAAAATCTGTTACTACACAAGTTCTCAAGCTGCCCTAAATTAGACTCTGCTTTATCCTTAAAAACTGGAAATGTGTAAGAACACAGATACTTTTATAATTTATAATTGCTGTAGAACTGCAAGAACTAAAGTCAGAACTTCTTCCCCCAGAAAATTTTAAAGCAATCTTTCATGTAACACTTGTGACACTGCTGCTAATCTAATCACTTAAAAGATTTTATATAGATAATAAAATTCAAAATGTGTATATAAACAGATATTTATCTGAGCCTTCCCTGATCACACCACCTCTATACATGCCACAGAAAATAAGGAAATGATTCTGCAACCAATAGATAAAACCCAATTGCAGCAGGCTGCTCGCCAGACTACAAAACCTCTTGGAGACAACTTAAAAACCCATTTGAAACAATCTTTTCCTGATTCTGCTCTGAGAATCTGATGAAAAAAGTCAGTGATATCAACCAGAAGGTCATGATTTCAACAGGATATGATAAGTCCCCTGTGGCTTGTCTGCTTATCTCAGGCTTAACAGTGCACATACTGAAATATTCTTGTGTAGAACTCCCCTCAATGAGAATTCCTTTAAATTCTTTAAAACACAAAGGCCTTTCCAAGACTAGTTAACCACGTGGTTGAACATGTGCTGAAAGTTTCAGGTCTGGTCAAGTGTCACTGAGTTCTCAGCAGTCCAAAAAGCCTGCTGAGGACAGGACAGATGTGACAGCGTGCTGCAAAGAGCACCCAGCTGCTTCAGYCATGAACAKAACTCATGTTTGCACTTAATACAAWAAGACCTTTTATTTCTRAATGAGYTGAACTTACTGAGTGAGTTYGGGAGCTTTCCTTTGCCGTCGGCTTTCAAGCAGAACTTTACTTTGAAGCTGTTTGAGAGGAGAAAAGAGAAATTAATTTCACAGTTTTTCTCACATTTTCTTCTAAAATTCCCCACTGTTTATTTCTGTTCAGATGTACGCTCTTTGTGAGATTCCAGCTCACTCCCAAAAACTATTGTCTACTGATGGAAGAGAAACTACAACCTATTAATTATTATTAATTAATTCTTGACAGAATTGTCAAGCAATGCAAAGCTTTGGAGTCTTGATTAACGTAGGGGGATCACCTGTAGACTGGAATGTTTCCTCCTGTACTCAAGTGAGTCTTTTTTCTTTTTAAAGCTATCATACTGAGCTGAAAAGAAAGTTAGCACCAGAAAGAAAAGTGRGTTTGGATAACAGCCCAGGAACCAGAAGCAAAGCCAGTTACAGAGCAGATCAGTGCCCAAATGTGTAAATTAGTGGGCAAAACCACTGCAAACGCTGTGTGAYGTGTTGACACCTTGGGAAGACCTTCCTGTGCCCAACAGGGACAACTGGCATTCTCTGCAGGCTTTGGGATCAGTCTGGCATCTACTAAAGGCAATCACTCCAACTGCTGTCAGATCTCTTCTTTTGTATTGTCTGTTCTTTCAGAAAAATCTGTGTTTGATTGTCTTTTTTTTTTTTTTAATTAGCTGACTAGACTTCCTGAATCCTTTCAAAATCAAAACTTATGGAATTAAAACCCAAGAAGTCCCTCCCCTCAAAGGAAAACACAGAAACTCTGCTTACCAAGAAACTTTGACATCTCCCAGTGAACAGGCTTTGTTTTCTGGGTTTAGGATGGTTGGATTAACTTCCAGGGCAGCATTTACTCTAATAACTGGTCTAGCCCTGCAAAGAAAACATCCTCTTGAGCAGCCTTCAACACCACATTAGACAATGACCTCCAATAATAAACACACACAATATTGAGTGAAACCACAAGATAAACAAAAAAACACTGACCAATGATGGAAAAGTGGGATGCTTTTCTATGCCCTTTCATTTCTATCAGCCAAAACATGGAAAACTGTAAAAAGGATATCCTGCCTACTATTTGCACAGACCAACACGTTTCCCCCAAATGAGCAAGTTGGGATGAGARCACTGGGATTGCAGTGCAAGAGTCAGCAGCTGCTGTGTCAGAGTCTAGAAAACTGCCGCTCAAAAAGCCTTGACGTCAGTTGATTTGTATTTTCTCCTAACTACATGTTACTGAGAAGGATGTATTTTAGACAGCAGATGGGTTTACTCAGTGAAAACAGCATCACACTGTTTTTGCACCTGCACAAGTTTGGAAGGTGAAGTGGCAGATTTTCAGGCTTCCCTGCTCCTGCTTCCTTTGGCATTTCCAGAATGCACTGAGGTGTCACTGAGGTGAGCACAGCAGGACCCTTACCTGTACAGCACCGCTGTGTCCACACCAAAGGCTCCAACAATCAGGTCTAGAAACAAAGGAGACACAGACACATTACCATTTGCTGTTTCTCAGAGATGACACTGCCATGARGCTGTTTAAAGGGCCACTTTGAGCAGAGCACCTGGGTATCCATTCTTGTCCACATCTGTGGCTCCTTTCAGTGAGTAGCCAAAGCTGGGGGGCATGGAGCGAGCTGCCCACTGCCCTTCCAGGACCTGGGATGGGACAGAGTTCAAACCACTGGCTCTCCCATTGTAGATGTACACGAGCCCTCTCTTGTCCTCTCCACCGTATGGTGCAGCAACTGCGATATCTGAAAAGCAAAAGAAGAATCGTCAGGCCCAAACTGGAACATATTGGTGCTTGTGTCAATCAATAATTGCAAATTTCACAGTCTCAGTGTGTGTCAGCAGGAAGGAAACACAACCATCCTTCAAAATGCTCAGCAACATTTGTTTGTTTGTTGCTCTTTTTGTTTGTTCTTTTTTTTTTTCTTTAATTACTGGATGCGGTTTTTTTCTAGAAAGTATAAATGTTTAACAAGAAAATATCACAGGCTTTTATGGGGAGAGGAAAGAAAGAAATAGTTCTACAAACACTTCTGCACTTTGGTGACTGACACACAGTAAAATCATATGGATTTGGGGTGCTTTTGACATTATTAAAACAACCAGAGTGAGTCACTGTTGGCAGCAAATCACAAAACTAAGTGGGACTCTTCCCAATTCATTTACATGCTCATGTTCCTCCAAAGGGTGGGACGTGTTAATAATTCTGGAAAATTTAAATCATCCTACAGCAATGGTAAATATGAAATTCCAGGCTATCCCAGTCATGGCTTGGCAGCATGCTTTATGGAGAACTTCCAGTTAGTGCAGTTATTCCACCTCTTAAAGCTTCATAAATTTAAAAGCACTCATTGTCAATGATTAATAAATAAAATGCTAATTAGACTGACTGTAAGGACAGTTTTACAAGTCCTTAGGATCTAATTTCAACATTTCCACAGTCAGTCCAAGGACCAAACATGAAATACAACACAGAATAACTGCACTTCTCCTTCCTCTTTTCTGAAATTTTAGAAAGCTTGATGAAAAGAATAAGGACTCAAAAGTTTACTGGTTTGTATTTTTGACTCATATTTACAAACTTTATGAAGACAGTAAAAATTCCAATCTTGCAGCATGCTGTGATGGAAAGCATTTTAATTAACACTCCCAAAATGAGGCAGAGCAATAAAAACAAAAACAGACTAAATATCAGCAAAGTAATTAAAAACAGGCAGCTTTTGCTATGATTTTTTCACCTACAGTGTGTTTCAGACTGAAGTATGATGGAATCAAAACATTTTTGGGATAATTTCATCAAATGACTAGAGTTTTGGCTATCAGCTGTAACCTTTCCAATGTGTTCTGTAAAGAGTTGCAGTGATAGCCTATCTTCACGCTGAGTCTGCATCCTGTTATCAACTAAAAAGGTCCCCTTCCAACTCAAATTATTCTATGACTTTAAGATTTCACCAAAAATTCATTAGAGTTACTGGGGAATTTGAAGTGCCAGTCTACTGCAATTTTTGATCTTTCAGAAAACACTTAGCTATCAAGCAAAATGTTAAAAATGGGCCTTTTTGGTGGAACTGAAATTGCCACTATTCCTAAGGAAACACTGGAGAGGGATGGGCATAACAGAGTGTTCTCCCTAGAATTCCTGGAAGTCTCCATCCCAACACTACATGATCCTTGCTTGCTTTGTTGCTTTTCACTCCTCTGAGAAAGTGAAAAGAATCAGGAAAGGGGTTTGAGAATCTTCTGCTCCAGTTCTGTCAGACTCAGATTTCTCTTCCAATTAATCACCTGACACTCAACCCTTGGCACATCTGGCTCTAGCTGCTATGCAATATTTCCACCAAATTCTCCCATTTGGAATTTAAAAAAAAAAAAAGCAACTATGCTTTTCTCAGGAAAACCTTTTATATACAAACATTTTCAACAAACAATCTGAATTAAAACCTTGTTTTCTGTCATCCTTGTGTTTCTAGAGATGAAAATCGACTTTAAGCAATGGAAAATTATTTTGAGGATGTTGTAAGAAGTCCCAGTGGAGAGTCAGGTATTTTATCAAGGTTTCCATTGTGGCCATGACTTAGAGAGCAGTCAGGTGGGGGTGTGAGAGCTAAAGCAATCCATGGTTTCAGGGGTTTAGTCTCTGCTCCATGCACCCATGGAACTCCTGCTGGCATTCCTGGGAGCAGCACACAAAGGAAAGGTGTCCAGAGCTTGGTGTCCCACACTCAGCAGGATCCCCATTCACCTGGCTGTCCCTGCAATCAGGGCATCCTGATCAATAATCCACATCCTACCATTGAAGCCATCCTGGTCCAGGTCCCCCAGGGGTGCGATGGAGCTGCCAAACCTGGCGAAGATCTCGAAGCCGTTCAGCTTTGCTGTCTGGAACCCTCCTGAGTGGCGCTGGAGGCAGATGGACACTTGGCCAACCTCCTGCAGCTTCCCATCCGAGCTCCTCTCCATAAACAGAGGGGCTCCAATGAACAGATCTGTGAAACTGCACCACAAAAGGACAAAACTCCTCAGCAGCTGCGGGAAAATGCATTCTCTGCTGCRCCCATTCACTCAGCACTGCGGCCAACACTCAGATCAAACCTTTAAATCAACTGAAGGCAAGTGTTTATTGGCAAAGTAAGCACAAATACACCAMAACTTAATGCACTTCAAACACATGTATTTATGTAGATAAACACAAAAACAAATCTCCCATTGTTAAAACAAAGGTGGAGTGTTAGCCAGAAAGAGTCGTGCAGATGTGTTAAGCCAGCAATGAGGACAGATATTTAGATTGTGGGAGAGACTTGTTCATAAAAGCTTTTTTTTTTTTTCTTTCCAGAAACAAATTGGGTGGCACTGGGGAGAAGAGGGAGAAGAGGGAGAAGAGGGAGAAGAGGGAGAAGAGGGAGAAGAGGGAGAAGAGGGAGAAGAGGGAGAAGAGGGAGAAGAGGACACTTACTTGTCCCCATCAATATCTGTGGCAGCCACCGAATACCCAAAATAGGCAGCCATCTGGAAAACAAAATCCAAACCAAACCTGTGAGCTGTAATGACAGAAGCATAAACAAGTTTACAAAAACCTGTATACAAAATACACTAGGGAGGTGATAATATATGCCACCAATTTTTTTTTTGTCTCTTTATATTTTTGCTTTTCTTCCTTACTCTGTTAGAAAATAAAACCACCAGTTACTTTCCCAATTTCCCCTTTCATGATCCCAGTTCTCTAAACAGGCAGCATTTCCTTTCTTTAAGTAAGAATAGAGTTCCTTCAGACTTCGGAAAGTTCTGCTTTTGTAAAAACTTTAGGACAATATTTTAGGACTAAACTTTTTTGGTAAAAACTCAGGGCAATAACAATCAGACTGTTATAGGATCTAGCACCCTAAATACTGTCCCAACACAGGAGCATTCTCCTGGTCACCCAGCACAGCCACACACCTGCTCTCCAGTGAAGTTGTACATGGAGGACATGTTTTTCCCGTTGTAAATGGACACCTGCAGGTGGAGAGGCACACATTACAGCACATCAGCAACACTCAACTTTTTTTTTTTTTAATCTATTGTAAAGTTTAATGTCTCAAATTTCCTACCATGCCCAGGGTTCTGGCTGCTCGTGGGACTCCTGACACAAAGTCTGAAATAAAGCAAGACACAGACAAGGTTCAGCTCCCAAAGCACTTTGGTGACTTTGCTGAACACAGCAGCTCATTCCCAGCACCTGAAGCATTTCAGCATTGTAGCACTGACCTGAAACATCTGCCCATCCTATTAACATGATTTTCTTACTGAAGCAAGGGGCTTACCTTCGATGCCATCGCCATTGAAGTCCCCAACAGCCACTGAATAACCTGCAGAGACAAGATCAGGCTTTAAAAACCTTAAACACTTCATCCTCTTTACACTCTTCATGGATCTCTATGCACAGTCTTCCTCTCTTCATCTTAAAATGCAATGGAATARATATTGCCTCAAAGCAGTTTAGACTGTGAAGAGCTCCATGAGTGACCGTATTTCACCAGCATCCAGGAATTTGAGATCAGAAGATGAAAAATTTTAAATTTTCATCCTGGGAATTGTCCTGGTWTGTCCTTGCTTTWTTTTCCTAAGCCTGGTTAGACATAKATGAAGCAAAAAGATGAATTCTCACTCYTCTAAGGGACTCCATTGTTTTTCTTTCAAAATATAATTATTTAACATTTCTATTTTGTTTGTGTAGATTATTTAGAAACAGCTGCTTTTAAAAAACAAACAACCACCTATGTRACTAACTTCTCACATAAAARTCATAGCTCAGCCATTCCCATATTYAGCCTGAAYCAGASAAAATCATRGAAATATTTCCATTTATTTTGTCATCAGTCCTTTTTGAGTCAAGCCTATGGCAAATTAACTAAGATTACATCATAGATAAATTACTGCATTTTCAGGTATGCCACTCTCTTGTTATCTGTTAAATACTGAATTAATAGCTGTGCGATGCAGATGCAAATATCACTGGTGCCAGGGAGGTTTTCAGGCAGAGGTTTCTCATTTCCCAGCATTTCTCACCCAGGTAGCTGTCATCAAAAGCAGCACTGGCAGGTCTGGTGGCTAGCTGGTCCTCATACTTGGTGCTGTAGACTTTGGAGTCATATTTGGCCACGATCTCCGTCACTCGGTCAGAAATCAGCTGCCCTGCAGAGAGAGGAAACAGCTTGGAACCACACAAAGTGTGAACTCACTCACCAAAGGGACTCATTCACAGGGTGCTGCCCTCGAAAGCACAGACTCCTCCACAATGTGACCATAAAAGAGTTCAACTGCAGCAGGGACAGCAGGGGAGATATGGACCCTGCTCCAGCAAAAACCTGAGCACACATTGAAAATAAAGGGCAATCCTCCACTGAGGCAGGGCTATAAAGGCAGTGCTCAGTTATTGTGAGCTTGTGGTTGTGCAGAGCTGAGCCCTTTGGACACTCCTGGCCCAAATACCCCAAAGCAGGAACCTCTTTTGGCAGACAAGAAGCCAACAAGGTGAGCACAAATGAGACGAGCACAGTGCATGCTCTCCGTTCTCACGTCATCAGCCACTAGGTGGTGACTTCATTACATTCTTTTCCTTGAATTTAAATGAAAACTTGAATCACCAAAAAAACCAAAACCCCATTCAGAATGCCACTTGCTACACACACATATTCACACGTGTATGAAGTGTAGAGAAAACTCCTCCTCCAGCAGCTCAGGATGTGGAATAAAAGTTTAGGATGAAAAATCTAGTTATTGGAAGTATACTTTAGTCTTCTATTCAGAGCCAAGTGGGCTTTTTTGGTAGCAGTTGCAGAATAAGGTTATTCTGGCAGATTAAGCACCACTTTTGCCAAAAAGCAATAAAACTAATACAGGAACTTAATTAAATTATATTGCATCTGCAGTTTAACTCCAGTCGTTCCATTTTGTTCATCATTTCAAACACAGGACTGGAACAATCCTCCCGTGCTGCTGCTGCACCTACAGATAGTCTGGCATGATACAGGAAAATCTAACATTACTAACATTAATGAATGTTAGTAATTACATTAAAAACCAGGAGCAGGGTGTGGCAGTTCTGCCCTGATTACAGTGGTTGCAGTTAGAGGATGGATAATCCTGCAAACAAACTCTGACTGAATCCCACGGGAGCAAAGGACACAGGTAACACCAGGCAGAGGTAAAATGTGCCCTGTGGCACAAAACAACAAACACAAATGCAAAACATCTTTGTCATCAGAGGAAAATTATGACATTTCTGTAGAGGGGATATTTCTCACTGAAATTGTACACTTTGTATGTGTGTCAAATTAAAAAAATATGTAGGTTTTGAAGAAAAAGATCCTAAAGGAAACTTATCCTGCTGAAAAAAAAAAAAAATCCACATTTCAGGGAAAATGCCTTAAAAGTGATCATGGAATTATTTAAAACATAAAGGACATCCAAACTCTAGTTACTTCAGCCTTTTATCTGTGGTTGCCTTGATTATTCAGGAGATATTCCTAAGGATGAAGGAATATTTCTGTCAATTTTCTTACTGACAAAGACTCTGACAGCACCTGGAAAAGTGTGGATAAAAATGACGGAGTATAAACAGAAAAATCATAAAGGTCAAACTCTCTGTGACTGAAATATCTCACCTTGCCAGTAAAAGCTTCCAGGTCCTCCAAGCAGCACCCTGTCTCCCTTAGAGAGGAAAAAAAAAGAAAAAAGACAGAAAGAAAAATTAAAAACATGTGAAGCACATCTAAAGCCAAAGAACACATCCTATGTTCATGGGAAGAAATCCCTTGCACGTACATCACTGCAGCTCCACTGACCACCACACCTTTTATTTTTTGAGGGAGTGATAATTTGAAATACATCTCTTAAAATGCTAACCAGCAACCTTCAGTGACTATTCCACCCGTTGAAAGTTCTAGGCAGAATTGTTTTCATTTTAATAGAACTTTCTTCTCACATAAATGAACAGCAACAGGAGTACAACGGGGAGAAAACTTCAGGACTGTTAGATCATGGATTTAGGTCAGTACACAAAACTACTGTCAACTTCAGCCTCTGCCATTTTCTGTAACTTATCACCAGAAAAGTTTAATTCAAAATAACTGTGATGTAATTCCTCCACTCCATATTTCTTGGCACAACTGCAATTCACAAACCATTTTATGAAACTTTAACCACATTTGCTATCCCAGGGTTGGGAATTTGCTCTCTAAGTATTGAATTAGGCCACAGGCTTGGCTGCATAATTAAGCCACTTATTCAGGTTTTAATCCTAAAAACTCTTATATTCACCACTCAGAAAAATCTAGGTCAGACATTTGGAGGTACAGCCCAGCTTGCCCGGTCTAGGGTTTTGGATTAGAGCCCAAAGTTGGTTTTAACTGGGCCTGGAGTCTGTACAGTGACCCTGAGGGTGTGTGCAAAATAACCCAAACACTCACAGTCCTATCCTGCACTTGGCAGTTCCCTTTGGAGTCAAACCAAGAGTGGCCTCGGGCAAAGAGTGAAGGGATATGACCTAATCCTGAGRTGTGAGGAACCCAAAAAAGCCCCATTGCAAAAAGGGCTGGCGTGGTCTTTGCACGTCCAGACCCTGCTGAACAATCTCACTGCACAATA